GAAAGGGTATATACAGGCTTGAAATATTGGCCAGCATTTCATGAGTTCGGTCACGCACTGTAATTGCTTTCGCTATTTACTTTTTCGATGCATAATTGACTAGCACTCATGACAGTTGAGTGGGTGGACAGGAAACGCCTCCCAAGCTGAGACCGCAATGCTACATAATGATCTGTCGCAACGTAATCATTAATAGGTCCACATATTCCCCAACTCGGAACGAGATTAGGTTTGCAAAATATGACTTTGATGTTTCGAATGTTAGTCTGAATCAGAAACACATAAGGACGCTATCCAAATGACGTACAATCCTCTTACAGGGCAAAACAAGCAATGATCGCAGTAAAATCAAAGGGCCTGTGGAGATCTTGAGCAGGCCCACCAAAGTTGGGTGTTCACTAAATGAAGAATGTTATGGACAAGATGCACCATTGGCAAGCGTTTATCTCAGAGGCAAATAAATGCCATAGTGGAAACGGAATGACCCTGGAACTTCGACGGATTTTCCAGTAGTGGTTTGTTAATCCGACGTTTTTTCATTAAAAGGCGTCAATTCTTTTCAGGTGAGCATGCGATCTGCCAAACTGAAGGCAGTTGAGCTATAAAAGGACAAACGTTGGACCAGTCAGTATGTTACAAGTCACGGAAAACTGTTCTTCTGCGTTCAGGCGATAAGAAATATCCTGCGTCCATTTAGATAGCTAGACATATAAAGAAGGGCCACACGATTAAAACTTGTAACACTGCCTTTCACGGAGTTTTCCAGCGTTAAGCAAAAAAGGTATAAGCCACTTAAACGAAGTTAGCCCGAGAAATCCCTCTAAGGGAACAAACTATGTAAGATGTTCAAATAGCTTAGTTATTCTTGGTGTTTTCGCTACAGCCCGCTGAGGTTTCATGACAAGATGACTGAAGCAAGATGGGATATTGAAAATGAATTCAACACATAAACCACGAAATGAGATCCAGGGTGAGTGTATGACTTATTTTCTGTCACTCAAAATTCTTTCCTGGTTTGTATTGATAAAGCGTCTTCGATAAAATGACATACGGACAACAGTTGAAGCAAACAATTATCAGTCAGGCTTTTGCTCTAACCAATGGCATGGCAACAAAGTGGACGACCAGCTCACATAAATATAGGCATACGTGCCGTGGAAGTTGTCAAGCTGTCGCTCCTACAGTGGCGTCGGTCTGACACGATGAGATTTCCTTCATCTATTCTACCCCAAGCTGCCTTGATTTCCGTGGTCGTCCTCTCCGGTGCGTTTGAACATTTCTGCTAGCAATTGACATACAGCCAATACTTGTCAAACATGCCGTTTTATTTAACTGTACACGCTGGCGATCATTCAATGGGCTCGGTATCTGCTCCTGTCCTATCCAACTGTAAGATATAATCTCGCATTTCGACATCTCGTAATCAGTCTGCTAAACACATGCTGATACATTTTAATCTGCCCATGTCCGCACTAATTTCAGTACGCACACAAGAAATTTGCAAAGGTGATCACACAGATTGCTTGCCTCTGGCCTACACCACTGGAGATGAGAGCAACGACGCAAGCTGTCGCGAGGAATGTGCAAGACAACGAGGTCTGTACTTTCTTCTAAGCGATTCTCCACTATTCCCGTTGTAATTGTACACGTTTTGCGCGGCGTTCGTGATTACCCGCTCGTCCAGACCACAAAAAGTAATAAAGCGCTTCTTTCTTTGTCTCAAGCGGGCCTAACTGAGAGGACGACAGCCTACTATTGTGACGAATTTGGCCAACCGTGTAGTGTGTACGAAGTCTATGGAAGAAGAGGCGACGATAAAATCTTTGAAAGGCATGTGATGTGTGTTCTGATGTGTCAGTTGGTGGGACAGGGTAAGCAGTGTTGCGATACTCATTTCCTTTACGCGATTTTGCGCTCTGTTTTCGTATTAAACAATGTTAAATAAACAAATTTGCTCCGGAACTTGGCTTGGTGAAAAGCTGTTCATTTTGTCTGACCTGTTTAGCGGAGATCAGCACATTAAATCTTCTGCCCTCAAGCCCTCTTAAATATGATTTTACGCCGTTGGTCCGTTCTTTGCCTGGAAAATTAACCTGGATTTTCGTATTTTGCCAAGGTTACTATGATCTGAGTATTTTAACGTTCTAAGTTCAATGTCTGGACCGTGCCTAATTTTTGACTGCATAACATCTTTAACACACGTCTCTCGAGTGGACCACATAGATTTAACATATGTACGTCAAATTTCATAAGCTTCTTTACATGCACACGCAATAAAGATCAGCACAATGTTGAACTATCGATATAGGCATTGATAGGTTTGACTAGCCATCAATTTATGATTAATGTTCTAGTTAGTTACTGTTAGCCTGCTGTTCGGCGATGCCGTTCCATCCAGGCTGCGGTGGTTACCATATTTCTGGTCATATCTAAGGGACAAGTACAAAATTTGCAAATGCTGGTCAATAAGAATCGTCCTCAATTCTTTGATGTTCCTTGTTTGTGACGTAAATAATGCCTACTACCAGAAAATAGGGAGAAAAAAAATCAACCACAGTTATTTCACTTTGATCGAAAATGACGCAGGCAGTTACTTTTTACGCTGGTGGAGAGCAATATATGTGTGATTCACATCGCAATGTCATATTCCTCAGACCATTATACTGTTAGCGCTCTAACATTCTGAATATGATGATAGGCCCATGCTGACTTTTACCACATTCCTGACCATTATTGCAGTTGTTGAGTGTCTGACGTCATTAAGCAGAGTCTAGCAGATGCGTCTAGTTAACGAAACGAGCCTACGATTATGAGCACATTTAGAATGACAAAGGGCCCTGTGTTCTGTCACACGAGGCTACTAAAACACGTTGAGTGGTTCGAGGATTTTCAAAGTGTTCTTAATTTGCCCTGCTTCAGCTACAAGTAGAAGGTGACTTTCTGCACTTTCAAAATACTGACATTTATTAAATGCAAGAATTTTCGATTCGCGAAACATTGACGAACGCTCATTTGACTTGACGGAGAGCATGCGCTCCTACTGTATTTGAATCAAAACCCGCTCAACTCGGTTCACATTTTTCCTCCGTATTATATATTCTATAAACACTCAATTTTCGGTGAGGACTTTATGCATCTCAAATGAAATTTGGACTTAATTCCTATTTCCGTTCTCATCGCCTATGATTTTGTCATATAGCCGCCTAGACGCTACTTTATGAGGTCTTTGTTCAAAAAAATTAATATTTAATATTCCGTATTTTCAATGCTGTGTTGGACGCATTTCACGCTACCTGTAAACGTACGTTACCTCGCACACACGTCACTGCATAAATCCACTTGACGTAAACGGATTTTCATGTAGCTCAACGTTTACCGCTGCGCCGTCTCTTTACTGAATCGTACCATTTCGTTGTTAAGGCGTTTTTCGTTCAGATGAAATTCGATTGGTTTTGAAGGCGCATACTTCTTGCATGTTAGAAATTTTATCCCTACTGTCTAGTGCCCCCCAATGTCTTCGGTTGAATGACAAAGCATTCCGACCAATAACGAGCCAGTAGCAAGTACATTATTGTTTGACTACGCCTACACGAATCAAACCGCCAATCGTTGACCTGTTGATAAGAAAACTCGATTTATTGTGCTATAGTAAATAAAACCGATATCATTAATGCCGTTAGGAGAGCGTCCAGTGTCCTCTATGACAACCGATACAGGTAAAGCAATGATGAACATTTATTTCCTGAGTTAGACTTATTCACGTTCCTACTGCCCAACGTTTTCGATTAAAATGCATCTTTTTGCTGATCAGGAGCACCCAGTCTGTTTGCGTTAAATAACCACTATACCTTTACATTACACAGCCTCTTACAAAATGTGAAGCTTGGGTGAGTTCACAAAAGTTGATCAATTTTATTAACCCCATCGCCAGCGTAGACTCTCCACAAACAGTTGATTTTATCTTTTGTTGTAGCCTTCAGCACTTGCGGAAACAGCTGCAAATTAAGCATACCCTGTAGCCAAACCGAGTACGCTTTATGTTGTAATGTTTTTGGGCAAAGCTGCAAATTTACAATAAAAATATTAGTTATCTTAAATAACAAAGTGGGTTCTATCAAAGACATTGTGCGAACGTATACCTGCTTCGATCTGTTTACTGACCAATCATGAAGCGTTTGGCCAGTGGCTAAAAATCCAAATAAAATGTGTGAAAATTGGAACGCCTTCGATTTGCTGTCAGATATCTATACAATTGTTCAGCCCAGATTCCAGGACTCAGTGCTCACGTCTCTGAAGTTAGTGCCGTTCTGCTCCCGTTAAATAATTTTTTAAGCATCAACATGCGCAAAAAACAGAAGCTTGGTATTGTTTCTGGGGGTTTGTCAATAATTTCTTAAAAATTTAGGAATTCCTGAACTCGTTAGTATTGAAATAAAGGACAGTTTCAATAAACGAGCACATTTTAGATTCACTGCACACTAACGTGTAAACAATCAGCAGATTAACATCAACATTGAGTTAAGAGTATGAGAAAGCTAACTTTGGCTTTTCAGCTTTCATCTTCGACTTGCGCCTGGCCACAGAATTTGTCCTTAGTAAAGGACGCTGTCCTGCGTTAATTTGTGTAAGTTCTTAAACTCACGACTGCAGCGGCTTATGACGTCTCGCTAAGCTGAATTAATTGTCTTGCTTTAAGGACATTTACGCGATTATGTATTAGTGAGTGTAGTCTCATATTATGTAGTGAAATGCCAGTCAAATGCAGGACCTTGGACACAGATCGCATATTTTGCAGTAACATTCAGGCAACAATGTGATCAGCAGGTCCCATGAGATAAGCATATAAATTCATTTTAATTCGTATATTTATATTTTAAAATTACTCAACTCAACGACAGGAAGTGATTCACTTCTTAGTTTTTATGGACAAGGGTGCAAGGGTGCTACTGAACGATAAACGGACTACCACCTGGAAAAACAAACCCAGTGCAATTCTTACGATATATATCTGCCCTCTTTTTCGATTGAATGTGCTTATATGCCTTAACGGATCATGCCATTTACGTAACCATAATATTTTCGATGGAGGTGGGGTAGAGTGCTGTTTCTTTGCGTTTGGCACTAATCTCTTATTATAAGCAACATAAGCATATCTTGCACGAAACGAGAGTGTAAATCGCTTGTGATGTAGATAGACTTACGTAAAATTCCCGGAAACATATTTATCCTCGTGTTCTAACCATGACCTTACTGCAAAGTAAAATCTAACCCGAAACTTAAAGATAACGCAAACAAAAACATCGATTTTAAGTTTTTAAAGAATAACGCTGCTGGTTTTGCTGTTCGCCAGCGGCAAATGCACGCGATTGGAAAATGGATGGGAAGTATTTTCAAATGATTCCTTGTCGTTCGAGCATCGATAGAGAGTCATTACTATTATGGGTGATGCCATGCTAGATAGGGCGTTCAGTGCAGTCGGTTTATTCTTCAAAATAATGGAAAATATGTGGATTTTATGGGACACATGCGTCGCAACAAATAAATGTGTTATCCCAGAGATGACCGACAGAATGTGATGATGGGTTCGAGTGCAAATCCGTAACAACGGATTAAAAGCTTCTTTTTCAGTCGTTGAATCTTCTTTTGAACTGCTTCTTGAGCTCGCCTGTTTTCTTCTATAGGCAGAATGTTTTTCCGCTTTTGGTGTGAGGGTCTTGATAGACTTTCGGTTCGATTCTTTACAATAAATCTGTCGGTAGACATGGTCTCACGAAACGGCTCCCCGATTATTTAGTTTTTCGTCAATGCTGTTTGTCATACAGATTTTCCTAACACTTTGTGTCAAAATACGGACTGAATTACGTTGCTGAAGAAAGAGTTTGATACTCAGAAAATTGTATATTGTTTAGTCAAGGTGTTTTTTTTAAATAAATGCTTCTTCGAATGCTGCCGCCTACTTTTCTGCTAAGAACGGCGTTTGACAAAAATACGAGCAGCCCGTCGTTTTCACCTCCAACGTTGACGGCGTTAACGAGTGTGCTCGATTTACGTCAATGAAAATGCTGGCTGTGATGGTTACTCTAGCAACAATTGCAAAGTTATCATCAACATAACAACCCTTGCGCCTTTTCTTATAGAATTAGTCGTTTTAATGGGATTTCTCCAAGTCGCACATACAGATATCAACCTGAAGTGCCCCATGACGCTATGCCGTAGCTACTCCGTCTATTAGTCTATGTACAGTAGGTGGGCTAATGCATGGAATATCAACCAAAATTCCAAATTGCCTTTTTGTTTCGAAAAAAATTAATTCAATAGGGTCGTAACAATAATCATTTTGCAGCGTAATTTTATGATAATTCAGTTACCGCAGGATGCCGGCGTTCGAACGAACTTCTTATCGGCTGCATGCAAAAGACACGTTTTGTAAAAAATGAAAACTTCGGCACCATGAATTTTTCTCATTGATTTTCAATCCCCTAAAACATCCATTTAAATTCTGCGGAAAACATGCATAAAAATATCCATTGTCTTGCTCATTCGGTAGAAACTTACGTCTTCTTCCAATTTTGTACTCGGAGGAAGGGTACAATTTGGTTTTAAAAAAGGTTCTAATCGTGGGAGTTTTCAATACCGTGAAATGGCCGTTCATAAAATGTCATGTCTTTGCATTTACCGATGGGTTGTAAAGTAAACAATATAACTCAAATCCACTGCCAAATTTTATGAGCTCCATATAGTCTCCACTTTGTACTGTAGAGAAATGTATGGTTTTCCGTATTTGGGAAACATACAGTTTATAGTTTGGAAAACCTGAATACAAGTGTTACGGCAGCTCGGGTTCAGAATTATTTGGGAATCGGAAAAGTTCTCAAAAACCAAATTATACCCTTCCTTCGAGTATGAAACGGGAAGAAGACATACTTTTCTACTGAATGATCAAAAAACGAATATTTTTCTGCATGCTTTCTGTGACATATAGTTGGATTTTTAGAGGCTTCGAAAATCTATGAGAAAAATGTAAGCTACTTATGTAGTCATTTTTTAAAGAGTATAATTTTTGCATGTGACCGGAAGGAAGTTCATTCGGAAGCCGATGTCTGGAGGTAACTGAATTATTATAGAATTATGCTGTACAATGATTAGTTTTACAACTCTTCTTAATTTACCTTATCGAAACGAAAACGCATTTCAGAATTTCGGTTGACATTTCATGAGTTAGCCCACCTACTGTATTTAGTTGTCAATTTGTTGGCTGCTTTATTCCTCAGTCGTATGGATTACAAAATAGAAAGGATAGCAGAGGAAAGTTTTACTGCGGCGGTGTTGTCTGCACACCAACTCTCGTGTCGTATTTAGGGGTTCTCTCTTTGTTTGATTGCTGGAGATGAGCGCCCGCACGGAGATACCCTCGAGCGCTGTCCGCAACTGAAGGTCGCGCATATCTCGGCGATACGCTCGTTGCAAGGTGATTCGTGGGCTCGCTGGGCGAGACTGACCTGCGGCCTAGGGGCATTTTCTCAAGCCGGACGGCACGGCCTGTTACGTCATGTTCTGGACAGCTGGGACATTCATACCTTTGTTTACACTGATGGGCGTTGATGACAATAGGGCTCGAGAATGTCAGGTAGTGCGCGCGCTAATGTGCATATGACCCGGTCTCTAGAAGCATAGATATATTTTGGCGGATTACCTGGCATGGCATCAGTGGCCATGAATGCTTCCCACTCTAAATAATTACCATTAAAGTAATATTCCCCGGACTGAATCTAAAGCAGGCATAGACAGCAGAATTTAGTGGAACCAGTAAATTTCGCGACGGCTTATCAACGTGCATTATTACTGAAGAAATAAGGCATCAGAACATTTCCAACAAAGGCATGATATCCTTGGACGTTGTATCACAATTCACAGATGTACCACTGAATGAGACAATTGGTATCATATGCGCCCATGCGTCTGAATCCCGCCTTTCACCCGAAATATTATGTTAGCTGTTAAAACTTTGCACGAAAAACGCTCAATTTCCGTTCAGTGGACAGCTATACAGACAAATTGATAGAGTGGCAATGGGCGGTTCACTTGGGCCAACCCTTGCCGAGATTTGCATAGGTCACTTAGAAGAAAAGTTGTCAGCGAAATTCAATATGAAAACACTGTGCAACAGATATATATATATATATATATCAGGTGAATAATTTCAGAAATTAATCAGTGCAGAACTTGGAGTTAAATCTCCGGCACATGACTTTTTAGAGTCAGAACCGAAATTTCAATGAACATTTGAGTCGAAGACAATCAACTACTGTGGAATAACCACGTAATGCCCATTCTAGAAACAAGTAGTACTACGAGTAGTATGAATTCCATATGGTAAAGGTATTATACCGTACTCCCGACCTAGATACTTGCTAAAAGCCCAGACACGTGTTTCGCTGATATTCTGCCGCTGCGTGACACAGCTAAGAGGGGTTCGGCTCTTCAGTGGGACCCCCAGCGTTCTCTAGTGGTTTCCGGTATATGAACTCCAGAGAATAATCAGGTGAATATTTTCAATAACCACGCCCAATTAATACAAAAAATCTGAGACCGGCCGTCATGTATGATAATTTGTTAACGACTATCACACCCATGAAGTCCTGGCGCTGATCTCATTGGCCTCCCACTATTCTTGCAATAGCATAATTTGATACTATGACCATCCTTTAAGCATACAAGCTTCCTAGATATAAAAATTTCTCGCGACCCGTAGTTTGATTATTTGGCCGTTCCACATGGTCGTACCTCGATCAGTTTCCACTGGGTTGGATATGGGTGTCCTCAAGGCTGGATATTTCCACTATAGCTTATAACCTGTTAGCGCTTTTCAATTGTTCCCCC